GATAACTATATTTAAGGTAGTTATTTTTAGTTATAATTGTTTTTTTTTACGCTAAAGATGTATAACTTCCTACGTGCGTACATTGGCCATTCTCAAAAACGGACTTAAAATTCTAATTTTTTATTTTTTATTTTGATATGATTCAAAGTAGTCTCAAATGAAAGGTATCTTATCTTGCAAAATGGAGCACATAAAAGCTTAGCTATTTTCACTGTAGTGTTCACAAAAGTAGTAGTGACTTATTTATATAATTTTAATATACAAATTATATAATTTTTTACGTGGTAGAGCCATGCTGGAGCTATATTAGTAGTATAGTTGTAGCACGAATGGGTCGGCTCGACCGGGGAAGGACCACGCTCTCACAGAATACCAGCGTCAAATAGCAGCTTCATGCTGCTGTGTTTCGTATTGTGAGTGTAGAGAACCGGAGACCCTTTTTACTGGAAAAGAGGCTTTCTATCTTAGTCCTCACCGATGATAACGCATCTGCATTTTGATTCGCAAACGAGGATAAATGTAGATGTCTATGGGCCACAGCAACCACTTACCATCAGGTGGACTGTGTGCTCGTTTGTCACCCTATCCTATAAAAAACATTTTTTAAATGTTTTATGGATGAATTAAACGATATTTTTTTAATTATTATCTGTATATGACTAATCAGTTTGGTATTTATTAATTTTAAGTCTTTAATTAAGTCCGTATTTACGCTTAATTAATATTATGTTAATTATACTAATAAGTTTATAGTAGTATAGTATATATATTACTAATAAGTTTTATAGGAACACAAGTTGGTTAATAAAACTTTTATTCGGTTCTATCTGGTCACATAAGCAATCTTTTAATACCTAGTAATTAAATTGTTATTAATCAACATTATTTAGTTAGTATATAACTTGCAAATTAATTTTAAGTCTTTAATTAAGTACGTATTTACGCTTAATTAATATTATGTTAATTATACCTATTACTAATAAGTTTTATAGGAACACAAGTTGGTTAATAAAACTTTTATTCGGTTCTATCTGGTCACATAAGCAATCTTTTAATAGTAATTAAATTTTTATTAATCAACATTATTTAGTTAGCATATAACTTGCAAAACTCTTACGAGATAAAGTAACTGAGACTATTTAAATTATTATGAATGAGAAACCATAATAAAATAATAAAAAGTAGTAACAACTTAATCATTTTTAGAAAAAAAAAACATGAAACCAAGCAAAGAATCTTATTCATTAGAATAATCTTAGCGAAGATGAGGGAATGAACGGAATATTATTTTTTTAACATTTCTTTGACCGCAATGTGATTGTGATAAAGTAACAGTAATAACTACAATCCGAAATATCTTTACACTGTGGCCAAATAAACTCCGTGTATTCTTCATCACACTTGTCAACTGAAATCATACTTGATATAATACTAAAATTTTTGTTTACAGAATTAGGGTGACAAAAGAGCATCCAATTCACCTGATGGAAAGTGGTTGTTGTGGCCCATAGACTTCTACATCTATCCTCGATTACGAATCAAAATAGAGATGCGATATCACCCCTGAGGACTAAGATGGAATGCCTTTTTTTCCAGTAAAAAGGGTCTCCGGTTTTCTACACTCACCATACGAAACACATCAGCATTAAGCTGCTATTTTACGTTGTCCCTGTACGCCCCAGTCGAGCTGACCCATTCACGCTACAACCAAAACATAGCTGCAGCGTGGGTCTACCACGTAAAAGATTAGAGAATTATAATCCAGTACAGTGACAATTTAACCAATGTAAAATATTTCTGTCTTTTTGCAGACCAATTTAATCAGTTGCCTTCGATCAATTCCCGAAAAGAAGTTACAGCTGTTATTTGAATTCTGTCAAATGTGTTGGGTTCTTCAGTTAGTATCATAGTATTTTCTGGCAGTTCATGTGAGATATCATGATTAGGGCTAGGAAGAGATTCTTCAGTTACTATCACAGTATTTTCTGGCACTCTATGTGGAATGTCAAGACTTGAGCCAGGAAGAGATTCTTCAACGATGAATTATGGCTGCGTTCAGTAAGTTTATCCAAGGAGGTGATAATTTTTCCATGCACAAAAGTTATGAAATATTTGGAATGATTTATTTAATTTGTGTTTTAATTATTTTATGTTTTTTAGAAAGATTTTTCCATGTTTTATTGTAAAATAAATATAAAAAATAATAATTTATTATTGATATATATCATCATCATCATCATTACAGCCCTTCACAAGTCCACTGCTGAACATAGGCCTCCCCCAAAGAATGCCATAAAGCACGGTCCTGAGCCACCTGCATCCATCGACCTCCTGCATATCTCACCAGGTCGTCACTCCATCTAGTGGGGGGACGCCCTACACTTCGCCTGCCGGTACGAGGCTGCCACTCGAGAACCTTTCTTCCCCATCGGTTGTCGGTTCTTCGAGCTATATGGCCGGCCCATTGCCACTTCAGCTTACTAATCCGTTGGGCTATGTCGGTCACTCTGGTTCTACTGCGGATATCCTCATTTCTGAGTTTATCACGCAGAGAAACTCCGAGCATAGCCCTCTCCATAGCTCGCTGAGCGACCTTGAGCTTCCTCATCCGGCCAGCAGTGAAGGACCACGTCTCAGTTCCGCATGTCATCACTGGCAACACGCACTGGGTGTACAGTCTCGTTTTTAAGTTTTGAGGTATATCTGACGAGAAGATGTGCCGTAATTTCCCGAACGCTGCCCAACCGAGTTGAATCCGTCGATTGACCTCTCGGTCGAAGTTGGACTTACCTAGTCGGACTATTTGTTCCAGGTAAACATACTCGTCAACAACTTCGAGCTTACTGTTCCCAACAACTACCGGCATAGGTGTGACATGGACATTAAACATGATCTTTGTTTTGTCCATGTTCATCTTAAGACCTATCCGTTGGGAAACACTACTGAGGTCATTGAGCATAGTGCTTAGGTCCTCTATTAGGCTTGATATATATATATATATATATATATATATATATATATATATATATATATATATATATATATATATATTTATATACATATATACATATATATATATGTTGCACACGACATTTTCGTCATTTTCTTAATGATGATTAAAAAAATTATGTTAATTAAGTTTTAATAAAAATCCTGTTAATATAACCTATTTAGATTAATTGTAGATAGGAATTTTAGAAATAATAAAAGAATTTAATTTTTAATACAATTGCACAAAAAAAATTGAAAAAATGAGAATGGCCCACATAAGTATACACACACGTTTTTTTTTTTAAATAAGAGCTTAATTCAAATATCGTTAATAAAGAATAAATATATTTTTGTTTTCGGCTTTTAATATGAATATTGCATTTTTATAATATTACTAGCGGTTTGCTCCGGCTTTGCACGGGTAATTTTTTGATCTCGACGACAGCGCCACCTACCGGGTCCAATAGTGAATCTAAACCATCCAGAGATCCAATTAAACACACAAAAAATTTCATTTGAATCGCTCGAGCCAGTTTCGAGTTTTAGCAAGACTAACGGACAGCAATAGATTTTTATATAAGATGTTATTTAACCTTAAATGACAAAAGAGGTATGTAGTGTGACATTTTTCAGTATTACTGGAAAAACAAAAAATTCAAATACTGTATATCTAAAGCGTCTCCCACACAGCCGCGGCTTGCGGTAGCGGCCGCGGTGGCGGCCAGTTGTATTCGCTTGCAATGTAAGTGAGTCTGTAAACTCGTGCGGCCATCGCGCGGCCTGCCAGCGGCTGGCCGCGGCCGCATGCTCCGCCCCATTTGCTAACGCGTGTGTGTTAGCGAGTACGCGGTCAGTCAATGGCCGCAGCGCGGTCAGTTGTAAATTTTTACAACAGGCCGCGTGTACCGCGTGAAAAATGGTGCTAAATTCAGAGGTTTTAATAGAAACAGTGCCAAACTATCCTGTACTTTATGATAATTCGCATCGTGATCACAAAAGCATTAGGATTAAAAACAAAATATATGATAATATTGCTGAATATAATAAAACTTCGCCACGATTTGTCATGTTTACTGACGTCCAATCGTAGCACAGACACCACAACGAATGGCGCTTCAGGCCGCCATTCCGGCCGCGGTGGTATGTTGTTGCAGCGGCTGGAGCCGCGGCCCGCGGTTAGCCGCCACCGCAAGCCGCTTGTGTGTGGGAGACGCTTAATACATGCTATATTTGTATTTTTAAGAAATTAATTTGTTAATTATGTTTATATTTCTTTTGGTTTTTATTTTTAAAATATACAGCGTTAAAAATTAAAGTTCCTCCTTTCATTACTGAGAATGTTATAAATGGTTATAAAGCAATTAGTTCGCCGCACTGCTTCAGTGCGTGTTAGCGGATTTAACTTATCCTCGAAATATTTTATCGAATATTTTATTTCCTCCACATGTAGGGTTTTTCACGTTTCTCTGCCAAGCACAGTTAAAATTGCAACTAACTTTTTATTTCATTGGTATTTACAATTACGGCGAGCGTTTAGCCTCTGAGCTACCACGGCTCTCATATATCTATATAAGCTCTCTTATAAATAACATATTTGTATGTGAAAATGTTTTGGTTATTTCAACTTGTTATAAAGACGACGGAAACAACAAAATAATGCGTTTGTTACATACACGCATACGTATTTTTATTTACGATCCGATCTCTATTCTCTATATTGGTAGAGCTGCCCTGCCAGTGAGAATCGAGCCGCGGTACAGAGCGAATGTATTTTCCTCATAAATTACGACTCGCGTTTTTGCTCTCGTTCTTAAAATACCTTAAAATTTTTAATATTTTAAATTTCTTTTACATTAATATCGGGGATCATCATTTGTGTAAATAAATATTAGTATAACAAATTTAGCTCTATTCATAATAATATAAGTTATAATATTTAAAAAAAATGTTTTAATCCTTGTGTTTAAATTATTTATTTGGATTTTCTATAAGTGAAGAAAACTATAAGTATGATGATGGCCAGTGCGAAATTAGTACGAGATTGTAGTTCAGATCTGGGCTCTGATATCCGGTCCCTGTCGGTGGTTTCATCCTCGGAAGAGCAAGAGTCCACCACTGCGACGGAATCTGACTATTCAGAGGAGGAAAAGGAATATGAATTAGATGATTTGCAAATTTTAAAAACTATAGGTAAGGAATTTGGTTTAAAATATTCTGGATAAAATGTAAAGATTAATATTTTATAACGTGTGATTTAGCATAAGAGAAGAGAACCGTCGTCTTGTCTCGAGTTGGATTATTTATAGAATAAGGCTGACAAACGAGCACACAGTCCACCTGAAATGCTAAGTGGATGCTGTGGTCCATAGACATCTACATCTATCCTCGATTAAGAATCGAAATGCAGATGCATTCCAACCCTGAGGAAAGATGGATTGCCTCGTTTCCAGTAAATAGTGTCGAAGTTTCTCTATTATTCACCATACGAAACTCAGCAGCATTAAGCTGCTATTTCACGCTGGTATTCTGTGAGAGCGCGGAATTTCCCCGGCCGAGCCGACCCATTCGTGCTAGAACCATAATATGGCTACAGCATGCCTCTACCACGTAAACAATAGAGATGGATGATGCGGAACAGCGTCAAGCTTGCGGGATGTCTGTGTTTGCTATTTCGCCTGCCAAGCCTGCGGCAAATTCTCTCAATTATGGTTAACATATCTTGTTCTGGTAAACGACCTATTAATGTATTGATGATGACTGTGATGGGCAGTTTTAGACGCTTTGATTTTTTTGTAATAATAGAGCAATAAACGAGTTAACAGTCCATTTGATTGTAAGTGGCTACTCAAGCCAATGGACATCGGCTTCCTCCATATAACGAAGACTACATAATATGCCTTGTCTTGCCATTCCCTGAAGACTAAGATTAAATGTTTTTCCGCTTATGTACTAGCTCCCTACCCTTTTAAACCAAAATCTAATTCCTGGTTCAATTAAGATTTATCTTATTAGGTACTTACTTAGTCGATATTGCTTAGTCAGGTCATAACTTCTGTCAAAACCTTATTATTTAAAATTATTGAATACTGGCTAGATGAACTTCACCAATTTTAAAAATATAACATTTGCGCTTGCCGAAAATAAAAAAGACTTTAATTTTCATTAGTTTTCAAATATGGAGTGGTCGAAGAAAGAAGATAGAGTTGCGGTTATCGCGTTGCACCGCTGGGGTTACGCGCCACAAGAGATTTTCAATATTCTACAAAAATTGAAAATAACCCTACGATTTGTTTATCGCACTATCAAACGATTCACTGAAGATTCAAGCTTCGAAGATCGTAAGAGGACGGGCGGAACTCGTACAGTTAGGACACCCGCGATCATCAAACCAAATCCTGTTCGTAAACAAAAAATCTTAGCTCTTCAGATGGGCCTAAGCAGAACCACAGTCAAAAGAGTGATCAATGAAGACCTAGGACTACGAGCTTATCGTAAGAAGACCGGACATTTTTTGAACGAGCGTTTGAAAAATATTAGCCTGGATAGATCCTGCGCATTGTTACGGCGGTACGCTGGAGAAAATACCGCGAAATTTTGTTTTCGAATGAAAAACTTTTTAACATCGAAGAAAGTTATAATAAATAAAATGATAGGATGTACGTCTACAGCAGTGAAGAAGCGAGCACGGTATTCCGAGGGTTCAACGAGGCTCATTATCCTTCGCCACTCATGGTTGGGCTTGGAGTCTCACATTCAGGCTTAACTGAGGTGTTTTTCTGTGAAAAACCTGTGCCGAGGTGTACCAAAATACCGCCCTAACAAACATAGTGGAACCTCTTTCTCAAACAATGTTCATAAACAGACGTTGGATATTCCAAGAGGACTCTGCACCAGCTCATAGGGCACGAAGCACGCAAAACTGGTTGACCGCCCATGGAATTAACTTTATCAGACATGAAGACTGGCCCTCTTCTAGTCCAGATTTAAGCCCACTGGATTATAAGATATGGCAACATTTGGAGGAGAAGGTCTGCGCTAAACCTCATCAGAATTTGGAATCTCTCCGAGCATCTTTGGCTAAAGCAGCGGCAGAAATGAGTGTGGTGCGTGCTGCGATTGATGATTGGCCGCGTCGATAAAGGGCATGTATTCAAAATTAAATTACCTTTCATTTCATATATAATTTCTATATAATTATCAAAAAGTGTATCATTAATTTTATAAAAAGTTTTTGACAGAACTTATGACCTGACTAGGTACATGTTTTACGCAAAATATACCATTTTTGTACTAGGCGGTAATCGTAGTATAATGTTTTAGACAATCATTATCTTCCTATTTATCATTGTAATCGCTACACTTTATGAAGTTCTTTATGAAAATTAAATCTAAAGAAATTTATTACCGAAATGTGAAATTATGTTCTAATGGGAGAGAAAGTTAATTTACGACATCTTTGAAGCATATTATGCACATTGAGGGTTATTCGGGTTATTCGCACCTGTCAAATAATTTTATTGAAGTGAATTAAAATATGCATCTAATTTACTTTCAAGACCATGCAAAACACTTTTTAGGCAGTTAAAATTTTTAGCAGTTTGACATCATCAGTTTAACATGCGGTAAAGGAACCGTACCGTACGTTTTCTTTACTCATGTGATATTGTAGCGTCGTTAGGATTTCATCGCATGTCATTAACATCCATAGACTTAGAATATACTTTCGCCAGTATATTCTAAGTCTATGTTAATATCTGTGGCGTTCAGACATAAAGCTGCATATTAATGTAATCCAACATTAGCATTAATATAAGCGCAGGTACCGTTGTAATATAAAGTTTTGCCATGATAATTTTGTATTTTTATAGAATGACAATTTGATAAAAAAATTATGTGGGCATGATGATATAGCGCAGTTGCCTCTCTTTTTAAAATTTCAAAGTGAATGATAAAATAAATAATAGATACATATAACAATAAAAGAAAACTTGTTGTCTATAGGGAAACTAAATTATTACAGAATTATTAGATATCGGTAAATTTAGCGGTCTGTTAAAAACTCATCCGTAAAATTAGTAGAACAGAACACCTTGAGTTACCTCGGTGTTTGTCTGTCTATCACTGACATTTTTCTGAGAAACTATTGCTGATTTGTTTATAGAATAAAGGTGACAAACTAGCACACAGTCCACCTGATGGTAAGTGTATGCTGTGGCCCATAGACATCTATCACCATACAATAACTTATCAATATACGAAAAACAGCAGCGTTGAGCTGCTATTTTACGCTGGTATTCTGTGAGAGCGTGGACAAACAAGCAAAAAGTCCACCTGATGGTAAGTAGATACTGTGGCCATTAGACATCTACATTTATACTCCATTAAAAATCTAAATTGAGATGCTTTGTCACCCCCGAAGACTGACGTGGAATGCCTAGTATCCAGTAAAACGGGTCTCCAGCTCACAGTTCAGAGTTTGTATGTGACACTCACTATACGAAACACAGCAATATTTTACGCTGGTATTCTGTGAGAGCGTGGTGCTTTTCCGGTCGAGCCGACCCGTTCGTGTTACAGAAAGTTTAATTACATTTAATTATAATATATTATATATGCCATTTTGTTCGATAACTTGTTGCCATCTTGTAGGTAGGGACATAATCTCGTTGCTGTAGAAATCTTAGAAATTTTGATTTAAAAAAAATGCGACAAGTAATTTTGACAGGCAAAGAATTCTGAAGAGACCAAAACAGGTGAAAATCTATTGTGCAAGGTCAGGACTATATGGTGGATACATTAACACTTCCCAACCAAGCACTCTCTATATTTTGCTGACAAGCCAAAGATGTGTGTGGTCTGGCGTTATCATGATGAATAACCACTCCTTTTCTGTTGATCAATTCCGGTAGTTTTTTTTCAATTTCTTGCTTGAGTCTGAATCGATGATTTTGTTCGGTAAACGCTCAAAAAAAAAAACGATGCCCTTCCAATCCCACCATACACACATCATCACCTTATTGCGTGTTAATACAGTTTCGCTACTGTCTGTGGAGCTTGACTACCCTTTGACCATGATCTTTTTCGCACGTTCTTGTCGTAGGTGATCCACTTTTCATTACCAGTGATCAATCTGTGAGTACACGATTCATTAGGTTTCTTTCAGTGAGCTCGTGTGGTACCCAAATATTGAGCTTTTTTGTATAGCCAGACTTTTTCAAATGGGTTAAAACTGTTTGGTGGTCAATCCTCAATTCTTAGGCTATTTCGTAACTACTAATATGCCGATCTTGCTCCACTTTTTTAAAAATATCATCGACTTTATTCGTATAAGGGCGACCAGAGCGAGCTGTATCTTTCACATCAAAATTCCCAGACTGAAACCGTTTGACCAATCGACTTTGTGCAACTCTTACTGACACTGCATTAAGTCCATAAACGTCACAAATTTTTTTCGCGACTGGAATCGCATTTGTCCCTTTTTGTAATATACTTCAGAATGTATCGAATTTGTTAGATTCACTAATTTTGGCGGACAGTAAAACAATTGATAAATGGCATGAGTGTTATATTTACTTTTTATTTTTATTTTTATTTTTCTTAATGACCTATATATATTGATATTAAAACCAGCCAGATACAAAAAAGTACAACCAAAGAGATTTTTCTTCAATTTGGTACAAACAAAATACGAAGAAACTTTTTCTCCGACCATTACTACGGCGCATCATTATTATCTACGGCTGCCACGAATGTCGACCAAGAAAATACCACGTTCGCTTGTATTCCTTACGATACTTAAGAGTCTATGTTAGTCCACAGGGATAATAACGTATCTGAAATATTCATTCTTAATCCAGTATAAATGTACCCTTACTGCTTGTTTGTAAGCTTTACTAGTATAAAAAAAATTCTATCAACTTAGTTGTGTTGCCCACAGTACGAAACACTAATTATTCTGCATGTTAAGATTGCACTTGACCGATTTAATTTTTTTTAAATATCAGTTTATAATAGAAGTTTGTTTAGATGTCAGTGATTAACAAGGTAGGTAATGTGTGCGCACCCTTTGACCTAGTAGCGTAGTAAAATATAGGCCAAGGACGATCGAACGCACCGTATCTCTCAGCTAATCCGGTCGCATTTCCTACTTACTGTTTCTCGAACCAGCAAAATATCATAGAGATCAATGT